CAACTATATGGTGGGCGTGTGGTGTGGATGGCATATCGTGGCGTATATGATAGGATCGACGATATTAGGTATGGGTTTGCATCCCATGAGCGGACATATACTCTCCGAACACTACGTTATGTTTGACGAGAGGATCAATTTGCTTGAAAATATCAACAAAAAAGACGTTCAAAGAGATGAGTACTCGAAGTTAATACCCGAAACCTACTCCTATTACGGACCACTCAATTTAATCATGTATAACGTGGGTTATCACGTCGAGCACCACGACTTCCCATCCATTCCCTGCTCTCTTTTGCCTAAAGTTCGCGAAATAGCGCCGGAATATTACAATTCTCTACCCTATCATAGCTCCTGGACTTATGTGGTCTGGAAGTTTTTAATAGACCCTAAGCTTGGTCCTTTTTCTCGAGTCAAACGACCGCATCGGTTTGGAAAACAAGACGAAAAGACCATCGACTATATCAATGAAATCAACTCTGAAATTAAATAATGACACCTATTTTGTTGTTAAATTGTTTAATACTTGCTTAATCGTTAATATAATTTTAATTGCATATTTTTAAAATTATTTAATGTTATTAAAATTGTATAATTATCAGAGATTACTTTAATTTTTAATAATAAATTTTTAAAAATTTCTTTAAGTTCACTAAGTTAATTAAAAATAATTTTTGGGTTTTTAGTTTACAGTAATTTAACCAGAATTATAATTATTATTTAATAACCTAGTACCTCAACAATTCTTTATTAATATAGAAAGTTTTTATTAGAAACTGTAGTAAAAATAATGTAATAAAATTTGTCCCTGTCTATAACTTTATTATAACTTTATCGGAAGTTATCTAGGGTCGAATTATTAAATATGTTATTTTTATTAACATGAGTTGAATTTTAAATTCTTTCTAAACTATTGTAGTGCACTGGTATTATATATTTCTTATATTATATTTATTGTATGCGATTCTTGTCGTTAGGTTTGGTTTGGTTCATAAATTAAATGAAAAATATTTTAGTTATTAATACTAAATATTGTGTTGAAACAGATTTGTTTGCTCACAATGTGTGACGAGTGATGTACTCATTTTGAAGAATTGATCGCATAATTAAACTCAATTATTATAGTTTTAGAATTTGTTGACACTTTTCCTATTTGTGTCTGACTTTAAATTTCACAAGTTATGCAATTTTGTATGTTAATAACAATATTATAGAACAATTGAGTGATGTATAAATTTATTCAGTAATTACATTATTTCATTTGAACTACTGCTGGATTGTTTAATTAATTATTATAATAAAATCTTTAAAATGTTTTATTGTTACAACTTGTTTGCAACATACCTAATGATATTTTGAATTGAAATAATTTGTGAAACATTTTAAAGCAGCTTACAATCATTAGTTATTTCGCAGTTATTATACTACATAACAGGTATTAATTTTAGTAACAAGTTATACAAAAAAAGTTATTTAAAAATGGGAACCAAAAAAGATTTTGAATGGGTTTACACGGATGAACCTCATGCCACCCGTCGGTCACTAATTTTGGCAAAATATCCACAAATAAAACAATTAATGAGAGCCGACCCTAACATCAAATGGGCAGCCAGTGGCACTGCAATCATACAATTGATTTCGTTTTATATGTTAAGAGATGTGACCTCTTTCTGGCAATTGTTTCTAATGGCCTATTGTTTCGGTGGAGTCCTTAATGTATCGCTGCAGATGGTTATCCACGAGATTGTACACAACCACGCGTTTGGTCCGTCCAGACCATTGGCCACCAAAATACTCGCGATATTCGTCAATTTGCCGATTGGTATCCCTTTTGCGGGATCACATAAGAAGTACCACTTACTTCACCACCGATATCAAGGCGATGACATACTCGACACCGACATACCCTCGAATTTTGAGGTCAAATACTTCAGCAAACCTTTCACTAAGTTTTTGTGGATGATATTACAGTCCCTGTTTTACGCACTGCGACCAATCTTATCTCAACCAAAGTTTGTCGTAAATCCCAATTCACTGGAATTGTCTAATATTTTCATTCAAATAACGTTCAACTATATGGTGGGCGTGTGGTGTGGATGGCATATCGTGGCGTATATGATAGG